CCTTCTTCTGGCTACTTTTTTCATGTTAACATGTGCCCACTCTTGCCTTCTTCAGGGAATGCAGTTCATCTTCAAGGTGATGATAACCTTGACCCGAGTCTCTCGGCGAGATCTCCTCGGCTTGGATTTCGAGGGCACTCTCAAGTACTTCAGGGTCACTCTGCCGAAGCGTTTTAGGTCGCAGGAGGCCAGTCAAGAGCTTATTGCTACTGCGGTTACTGCAAAGGTAAGCGAATTTTTTCCTTTTCTTATCGGTGTGCCACAACAGTTACACGATTGTTTACACATTTGAAATAATAAGCAGGTTCTAGGCACCTTCGTCGGGACTTTTACAATCAACGCATATGCCTAACCCCCCCCCCATCATTATCATTGACCTTTTTAGAAGGCTGGCACAATGCCGGCCTTCGTATTCTATCTGGCGCTCTGATGTAACAGCACAGCAACGGTTTGCATGGCAATTTATTCTGCACACTTTGTGTGTGCGTAAGGCCACCTAGAAGTGCTTAACTTTATTTTGTCCCTAGGATCGCCTAGAAGTAACATTTCTTGCGCAATTGCATCACTAAATACGAATATTCCGTTTTGATTTTTTGCTATGATCGGGGGTCATCTCATGCAGTCATAGCGACAAATATTGAAGATTACAAAATTATTATCGAAGATGAGTCTGCTATCGTCATTCCTGGTTTGTTTGCTGTCGTTGCTTAGGCATACGTCAAATGAAAACAGAGTGTCCTATAGCTGACAAACGACTTCGATTTGGCCATCCGCATCTTCATCGTTCCTGTTCGAAGTGCTTTTCGATCATTTAAACGTGGGCTTACCGTTTCAGAAATTGCTTCGGCAGTCAAATTAAACCACTCTGTCCTAGTCTCTTTCCATTTTCAACTGCTCATTCTACTTTCTGAGCTGTTCTGTTAGCGTTGACTGTTTTATTTTAATAACCGCTATGACTACATCCACAATGAGACCTGGTACGTCATTAATGTTTGGCAGAAATGTTATGAACATTTAGCGAAATAGGGACGCTGATAGGTGGAAGAAGACTCTAATGGTACGAAGCATCTGCGTACCCGTTATTCTATGTGGCTTTAAGCGAACGGAGGTGAGGGGCGGTTTTTCATAAACCCGATTGCCCCCCCCCGCCCTCAAATGCGTAGTTATTGGTTTTAATTTTGGATTTCTTGGTTTCAAACTGATCCAAGCGTGTTGCTCCACGTTATAAGATAGCAAAACTTTTTCTCAGAAAATCTGGAATGAATATATACCGGGGAAGTTGATTGTTTACGGACAAGAGGTGTTTTATTTGCGTCATCCAGGCCAAGTTATCGAGCCAACCACATATCTGGCTTTTCAAAGGTAACTTAATTTCACGAATGAATGAAAATGTTCGCTTTCCAGGTATTTGCATGAAAGAGGAAGGAGTTTTGTCGAGCGCCGGATCAATAGACAAATTGATCAGGCGCTCGACAACCCTCCTGCTTCTTCCATAAATTAATTTGGCAGCTGTGCTTGTTTATTTTGCAAACCAGTCCGCCTTTGCTCCTAATTTTAGTCCTTTTCCTACGATAGTGTGCTCCCAGTGCACAAGAACTACGAATTGAGCATAGGGTGTGAACAGTTAAGTTGCTGAGAAGAAGAAGAAGAAGA